CACACCCTGCTGTTTTCAAGGTAAAAAAGGGAAGTTTCTTTTCTGACTCCAACATTTATAGATTTCTAAAAGTGACAGTGGATTGGAGGGTGACAGTGCCACCTCTCCAATGACACTGGACAAACCAACAGTCCATCAAATTTTTCTTCTCCTATAAAGAATGCAAAACAATGAATTATTTACATAAATTGTGTGAGAAAGTTCATTACAAGAATGTAAACATCAGAAGGCTTAGAAAACCCTAAAAAATCAGGGTGACAGGAATCTCTGGTTTGGGAGTAGCCAGGAGATAAATGGACGTGATGGGGATGACATCCCCTTGGCAGGAATTTCTCACAGCACAAATGTGGTGGGAACACAGCAAATCCCACAGTTCTGGATGGCTCTTCTCCTTCCAAATGGGACCCAGCCTTTGGCTGACACCATTCAGAGCCTGCTGGAGGGGTTTTCACAGCCACCAACTTCTCCAAATCTTGGGATTTTAATCCCAAAGGCAGCTCTGAAGGAAAGCAGAAAAACGGTTTGGCCTCAAATGAGTAAATTTGGTTCAATCTATTCATCAGGATTTGGATCCCAGACTATGGAAATCCATTCCAAGGCAATCATTTTGCCAGGATTGGGGCAACTGGAGTGATTTTAGCAAACCACAAAACTGAAAATGAGTCCTAAAATGATTTTATGATGTTTTCCATTTCCCACCTCTGCCTGTGCTCATTTAGGCTTCATCCCATCCTGGTAATTTATGGTGGATTAAGGATGCTGGAAGTAACACTTTGACTTTTCTTAGCCTTTTAAAGTTAAAGCTGAGTATATTTAGCAAATAAATTCTTTTGGCTCTGCTGTGCTCCTGAATCTCAGCAGCACAGATGGAGTCAAAGCCCCAGGGAACTGAAAACGCTGAAAAAAAATGATGAAATGGTTAAAAAGGAGGCTTGGATTTCACAGGGAATGTGAATAGAGACAAGAAATTGGGCCCTTCTTAGGCATGATTGGAAAAAAAAGCCAAATAAATAACTGCAAGGCAGGAATGTGGCAGTTGTGTGGAGCTTTTGTTTTGGGGGGAATAATGGGTTGTTGTAACCCATTTTTAGCTGGTTTATTTCTGGTTTTTCATGCAGGAAAAGAGAAATGTGCTGGACTGGGGCTGCAGAAAACCATTGGTATGCTCAGAGAAAGCTTTTCAGTACAGCATTTCATGCAGCCTGGCTTTAAAGATTTATTCTGACCCCCGAGCCTGCAGAATCTCCTTTTTTTTTTCCTTCCCTGTATATTTTGAGCCAGATTGGAGGAGATGAAAGCCAAATAAATCACACATGGAAAAGGGGTTAATTTATAGCATCTGGGCCAACACGAGGCAGATGTAACCTGCCAGTCTCTTCAAAATAAATAAGAAGTGACAAGGCAAATTGTGTTTGCGGGGAAGCAGAGCTGAGTTCATGCTCCTCACAGCTTCACCACCTCGAGACTTTATTCAGGGCCAGATCATATCCAGAGAGCAACAAGAAGTCCATTCCAGGCTGCGGCTTCGGAAATCCCTGCCAGGGCTGGGAGCAAATAAATCAAACAGATCCGTGAGTGGCAGAGGCTGAGGAGCCTCCCTGAGGGAGGATTTGGTGCTGGAGAAGGAGGGGGATGAGCACAGGGAGCTTCTCCCTCCCTGGAGCAGCTGCTGAGGTGGCAGAGGTTCCTCCAGGACACACCTGGGTCACGGCCTGGCCTGGCCTGACCAGCTGGGGACACCCCAGGAGCAGCTTTGTCACTGTGGGGTGGCTTCTCAAGGCAGGGGGGCTGGTCTCTGTGTTTTGCAGGTTCCCAGTTTGCAAAGGAGGGATGAAGAATCCTCCTCCTCCTTCTTCTTCTTCTTCTTCTTCTTCTTCTTCTTCTTCTTCTTCTTCTTCTTCTTCCTCTTCTCCTTCTCCTCCTCCTCCTCCTCCTCCTTCTCCTTCTCCTTCTCCTCCTCCT